GGTTTTACCCCTTACTGTTAGGGTCGTCAAGTTGTGTCCATTAAGTGTCACATCTTCGAGTCACAGAGCAATTTTGTGATTTTCCATGTTTTTTAATAAAAAAAGAATTAGGTGTTGTTTGGTTTGTAGAATTTAAAGAAATTCAAATGAATTGGAACTGATCAGTTTCTTTGTTTCGTTCACATATTGAAATGGATGGATTATTTAAATTCTAGAAATTAAAGAATTGATCATTCATTAGCATAAGTGAAATATTTCAATTCCATCACTACTCATCCCTGGCCGCCGCCACGACCATGCGACTATTGTTACTGTCACGCCCCACCTCTAACCATCACACCACTATTGTTATCGTCACAACCACCATCCATACCACCCACCCTACCCCAACCCAACCCACAACCCACCAATGACAACCATGTCACTACTGTTGTCATCACACCCACCCACACCACCCTATGTCACCTGCCCCACATCCCTATTACGATCATGCTATTGTTGTCATGTCCCCTACCCTAACCTCCCACCTACTACACCATTACCATCGTCGTCACAACTTGCCATTTATCCCACCCTACCCCACCCGAACCCTTAACTCGTTACTACTGTTGTCATCACACCCACCCACCTCACCTACGCCGCCACTCACCCCGTGGGAAGGGTGGGGTGGTCCAAACGAAGATGGAGATTCCAATTTTTTTGAGAGATTCTATTCCAATTCCTACCAACCAAACTCGTGGTCAAATTCCATTCCAATTCATTTAAAGTCAAATTTCTTTGATAGATTCCAATTCTACCAAAATTTCATCTGCGAACGAAACTCTCATTTAGTGTATAAGTTGGTGATGCTAATGTAAAAGTGTTTAAAGCTATTTAAAATACCCAAAACCTCTTATCGTCCATGCACATTGCCCTCCCCCCTTCTATTCATCACCTGTGGATATCCCCCCATCTCCGGTGATTAAGATCCTCTCCCTTACTCTTGTTTCTTACACATCACTACCTCACATTTTTCTTTATTACAACAACAATATCCTTTTTATCTAAATCCACTTTGTCTTTCTTTTGTGTTCGACCAAGAAAAAAAAATCAGAGCAAGGTAGTGTTGCATTACCAGAGATGGAGATTGAAGGTCGAGGGAGTCATCAGAGATGGGCTGGAAAACCATTATTCTACTTCTCCAATTAGACAACATTCTTCTTCTTTAAACCCACTTTCTTCTAATGTGTTAATCGAGAAAAAAAAGTCAGAGCAAGGTGGTGTATGCTTGGAGATGGACGTTGAAAATGGAGACAGTCTTCAAAGTTGTTGTGGTAGGTGGAGTGAGGTTGAGACTATGAGGTGGGGGATATGATGAAGATGGAGGTTGAGGGGTTGCCGCACCAGGAATGGGGACGGTGAGCTGGTGTCGATGGTTGGAGGGGAGGTTCATTTAAGAGATTAGGTTTCTTTTGAAAAACTTTAAACACTTGTACACAACCTTAAAGAGTTAGTACCCTTAATTTTTTTTATTAAAAGAACACAAAAGAAGATAACGAACTTCCTTGGCGTGACTTGTATGTAGTGCACCTACTTAACGACCCTAACAACCAGAGACCATGTTCGCAATGAAATTGAAACCTCGATTGCGTTCCTTGTAATTTCAAAAAGTTAGGGATGAAAATAGAATTTTCATAAACCTCAATGACAGTTTTGGTCATTTGCTTTTATTTTTAATAATGAACAAGTATCGTTCTATACAATCAATCCATTATTTAAGTAATGTTTGGTACGAAACACCTGCATTTTATAGGTCACATCTAAAAGTCAATGATAACATCGTTCAAATATATTACAAGTGCTTCAGAATGCAATAAAATACATAAATTAGCTCTACAAAAAAATATGTAACCTTTTACTTGAATTGATATTAGTAGATTCCTTCTGGACTACAAGATTCCCTTGTATTCAAATAAGCTTTACGAATAGTTTGACTTCCTAGCAAAAACTTATGAATACATATCCATGAATATAATATCCTATTTATATTTAAATAGCAGTGTAGTTAGATCCAGTTGTAATTGGATATGATCTAAAGTTTCAACATTCAAACTAATTGACCAGTTCTTGAATGACATACCATAATCAAAATTAGTCATGTCTGACTAATAATTAGCTACCACTCAGTTAATATGTGTGTGTGTGTAATTAATAATATTTACAATATTGTTTGTATATTAAAATTTTTGAAATCATATGTAACGTTGTTTAGCAAATCAAGATTTTTTTTAATAAATGGTTGAAACGATGGATTAATTGATTGGAAAACTGGATCAAAATGTTGATAAGATCCAATACAATACAATACAATGAGTAACTAACAATAATACCCAACGAATTGCACTTATCAGATCTAATCATCCCGATTGGATTCAAATGGATAAATTGCCCATTGTAAATTAAACTGGACCGTTTGACAAAATTCAACATACAATAAATGACTATGACATATGTATTCCACCTAAATCCATTGAATTTAACGGATATACACAATTTATCATATATAGTTGTTATAAAATATTTAAAAAAATAACTTACATGCAAATAATATTATGTCTCTTCATACTTATATATATATGTTTGCTTTGAATTTTTATTCGCAAAATAAAAAAAGACAAATTGTATGAAAAAGTTTCGTACTTTAACTTGATTCTTATTTTGGATAACGTACTTTTAAAACTTTCATTTTGGTACATAAAATGTAAAGTTTTAAACATTTAAGTAATCGGATAACAAGTTGAAGCATTAACTAGCTACCATGCTGATGTGGATAGTGATGTGGTATCCAACTCAGTATTATTTGTCGAAACATTAACCGGATACCACATCAACATGATAACAGGTTAATGCTTCAACCGATTACCGATACTTAGATGTTTAAAACTTTACATTTTAGGTAGCTAAATAAAAGCTTTAAAAATACGTTACTTAAAATATGAATCAAATTAAAGTATATTATTTTTTTATACAATTTGTTCAATAACAAAATACCATTTTAAAACATTATCAAACCTGAGATAAACTATAAGATACAGTGAGATTTGGATATATTATAAAACAAATAAAATAACTTGGTCAATACATCACCGTTGACCATGTATTAAACTCAGTATGGGTGTGGTTAGCCGACGTTGACTCAAGCCGATATTTCCATAGTTATTGGGTATGTTTTGACGATCCTTTATAATTTTTTTAAGTAAATTACAAATTTAGTCCCTGTGGTTTGGTGAAAATTTGGACCGGGTCCTTCAATTGAAATAATTATAGAGATAGTCATTATCAATTCATTTTTGTTATGGATCAGATTCCTCATGCTAACAGCTATTTAAAATCTTCATTAACTTAAAAGTATTTTCATGTTTTCACTATATTATGAAATTTGTAACTGTTTTTAAGAACCTGTTTTGCCAACTTCTAAAACTCAATAATAATAAATAATACATAATAACAGTAAAAATAAAAACAAATAACAAATCCCATATATACTTCTTTTTCTTGCTCCTGTCACAGACCCTCCTCAATCTCTCATCTCCGAACCAACCATCTTCAGTCACTTTCCCTTCTCAGTTTTCAAATCTGGTGAAGAAACCGATTTGGTGAAGAACTCAATCCAGATCTGGTGAAGAAATTGAACCTATCGTTTCTTCTAGTGAATCCTTGGGTTGAAGCAATCGAAGGAAGCATTCAAAAATCAACGAAAATTGGAGATTCTGCATCTGCTTCATCTTCTCTATGATCTTAGGGTTTTGATTAGGTTTTGAAATTTATGTTTTGGCAATGGTTTTTAGATATGGTTTGAATTTTAGGGTTTTTGATTTAGATTTAAGATGCTTAATTTATTTTTTAATTTATTTTTTTAAAATAATAATAATCAAATTCATTGGTAGGATGAATAATAAATCATTATTCTTCTTACATCAGCTTTAGAGAGTTCTCCAACTTAGAGTTTTATCATGTTTTCTCTATTTTAATGAATAATATAATAAATCTGTTGGAACAAATTTTTATTATCTTTATTTTTATATAGTCTGTTGTAATTGCTCTTAATAAGCCGTTTCTTTATTGAAATTAATTATGTTTGATAAGATTTGATGACAAACTAAAATAACAATGAAAAATTAATAAAAACAAATTTAATTTAATTGAAAAGATATAAGGGGTAATATTAGAAAAATAAATAGAAAAGACTCAGTTAAAAATATTAATACACCACTTGAAGTATATTTTTAAAATTTAACTCATAAATTAACTTATTGTTAATTAAACGAATGTTTTTCACTTAGGAGTTGTTTACTAAACACTTATTTGGTAAGTGCTTACCGGATAAATTTCCTTATCGGATGAACATGAGAATAGCCAAGAATCTTATAAGGTAAGAACAATGAGAATAATGGAGAGTCTTATCTGGTAAGTGAGGATGACGACTCTTACTCACGTAAGCACTTACCCAGTAAATTATTGCATTTGATATGTTTTGATATACTAAAATCTTGCGCATCAAAATATATCATAATGTTGACTCATATCGGTAAACGTTTATCAAATAAGTAATTGGATAAACGGTCTCTAAATTCAAAAAAATAATTTAACTTATGGTTCCCAACAATAACCAAAACTCTATATTTCTAAGTAATCAAGTGTGTGTCACAACCAATTATGCAAAGTTCAATTAATTATGACCGTTCTTTTTTATTTTCATTTTTATTACTTTTATTTTCATTATTCAAACAGTTTTACTGATATTTTCACAAGTCAAATTTACTGTTACAAAAACAAATTCATGTCCATATCATATACAAATAAATCGTTGAACAAGATCTGTATCACGTGGATTTTTAACAATAATTGCTCTAAACACCTTCTATATACATATATATACATATATATATATATATATATATATATATGTATGTATATATATATATATACACACATATTACCAAAAACAAAACAAGCACAAAATCTTTTAGGATACGAAATGGATCAAATTTCTTCTTCCAACACTTCATCTTCAACCTCTTCCTCGTCCTACAATGATCATCTCCCGAAATCGATCAAATCGACCCGTCCATCCTACCTTAACGCCCTTCATTCGGTCCGTAAACCGACCCACAAACCCATCACAAAACAATTCATCGCACCGTTACCGCCCACCCCACCCAAAGTTTATAACGTCAAGGCTTCCAATTTCAAAGAAGTCGTTCGTGTCCTCACTAGCACGCCGGAATTTCAGACTCCGCCAGTACGCCGCCTAAAAGACATCGCTCCACCACCTCTTATCCTCTCTAAGATACCAAAACCATCGTTATTTCCCAAACCAATACCGCCATCAGAAGGCGGAGCAACCGTGATCAGCCCGCTACCGGCTTTCATTTTCTCTCCGGATTTTCGTAGTTTCTTGAACGAAACACTTGATTCTAGTAGGTTATCTTCGAAGTCACCGGTGATGGATTATTTCGGGGGTTTGAGTCCGTTGGGGCTAAGCTTGTCGTCTGCACCACCACGGGTTTACGAGCCATCTTGGGTTGCACCCATGAGTCCGTTAGGGTTCAATATGTCACCATCATCACTTTCATGGTGTTCTTCGATGCTTTTTAGCCCCACAACCCTTTCTGCATTCAGTCAAAGCCCCATCCTCTAGCTTAATGGTGTTTTTGGTAAATTCGGTTTTCTTTCATGAAAAACAATCTTATTTCAAGAAATTTCTTTGGTGAAATCGTTGCACCAAAATTGCTCGATTTCATCTTCAGAAGCGGACACGGTTTAATATAGAAATTGTTTTCGAAAAATCTCAAATCCGAAGCCCCTAGTTCGCTAAATTGTAAGATGATCTGCTTGTATATTACTGAACGTATCCATCGATGTCGATCAATTCTTTGTCGATCAGATATATAAATATACAAAAGATCGTTGAGGAAGCTTTTGAGGATGAAGAATTGTGAACTGTTTTCGATTATTTACTTGTATTTACCTTTTTGTGCATCATGTTATTACATTTCATGCTTCAACGTGCTACGATTAGGACCGGAAACTGTGCGTTTTGTGTTTGGTTCGTATAAGTTGGTAATGATTATGAAATTAGTGCATGAACATAGTACAGAAAAACCTATAAAGACTGTATTCGTTTTGAATTTGGTTCCTCACTCTAAGTCTGCACGTTTCCTCCATTAAGTAGTAGGCCAAACTTGACATTAATTTTACGTATTTGAACAGATTTTCACAAAACCCTAAAAGACCATTTTCTCTTCTCCTCCCTCAATCCTTGGAGATCCCAGGTGATGCAACTCGATGCCCCCAGATATCTGAAGAAGACCTCTTCGCACCCTACACGCAACCGATAGTGATGGTGTTTGAGCCCGAACTCGATGTATTTATTTGATGAAAACCTCCCGCATCTCACAGATGTACGATGGCGCGCCATTTCTCTCGACCGCTTTGAGTTGCACATATACTTGGTGAACAAAAGGAACGAAACGACAATTATGAGGATGATGGTACTTGTTCTTTTGTAGAACAAGAATTCACTGGACCACTGCTCTTCCAAACTATCTAGAGCAAACCCTAATTGTACTTCGTGGGTTATGTTTCTCTAAGGGACTTCGAGATAGCTATGGAACCTATAATTTTTTTCAAACGGTGACATTATTTGACTATAAGAAAAAATTATAGGGAACAAATTAATTAAAAGGAAAAGAAAAGGAAAATTGGTTAGTTTTATGTATGACTTAATCAATAAAGATACAAAGAGACGTTAGGATGCAAATATAAAAGGTGTTTCTGTAAATAAATATTAAAAAGGAATTTGTTGATTGTCTTCAAGTCATAAGTGACAGATAAATATAATAATAAATCAATAGAATTTGACTTCCTAATAATGGAACCTCTTCAAATATGATGTTTGTACGTATATATAGCAACTAATTAATTATTTGATCGTGTTTCATGTGTGAATCGGATAAATAGAAAGAAGATATTTGAATTAGATATAGATTCATAATAACGTTTGGTAAGACTAAAACATAATAAAATAAGTAACAATATTTTTTCAGAATTTATTAGTACATAATCTCCTGTGAGGTCGAATCAAATGAGAATTAGACATTTGGTGGTAACTATGAGATATAAGCCAATCACTTTACATAATGAATGTTATTTAGTAAAATAAAACAAAGGGTAAATTGTGTTGATTATTGAATTTAATTTAATTAGTTTAATATCTCAATTTACTTTAATTAGTTTAATTATTTTGATATATGTATATACACACACACAGACACACAGGGACCAAATCTGGTGGCCTTCTCCGGCACCCACCACCACTCTGATGACCTCCTCCAATCATCTTGTTTGATCAAGACACCGTATCCGATGATCGACCACTAAACACTCACCTATAAGCATTCCTAACAGCTATCCCCATCTTTGTTCTTGTGACCCCCTCACTACCTATCTCCCTTCCCCCATCTCTGCCATAGTTAGTATCACAGTGATCTCAAAGTTTATTTGATATGTTTTGGGTATCACATTGTGTATCTTAGTGTATTTTTTGTATCAATTGTGTTCGTCGGAGACCGGAGGTAGAGGAGAGAGAGAGAGAAAGAGGAGAGATAAAAAAATAACTAAAATGTCATTTAATTATAATTTTTAAGTTACATTACAAAAAAAATATTAGTTTTCTAATTTATTTAATGATTTGTGATTAAGATTGGATCTTACAGTTATCACAAATTAATCAATTCTCGCTTGAATACATACACACACATACATATATATATATATATATATATATATATATTTCATTTACTTTTGAAAGTAGATCAATTTCTTTGTTTTATTTTTCTAAAAAATGTTTAGAGTAAACTACAAATTTGGTCTATGTGGTTTGTCGAAAATAACACATTTTGTCCTTAGATTTTAGAAATCACAAGATAACCATCATAATTTGCAAAAATGAATGGATTTAATCACTTCCTTTAACGTTTGTTAAACAATTCCGTTAAATAAGGGACATTTTCATCATATTTTAACAGAATTTTGACATTCATTAAAAGAAGGGACGAAATTAATATAGACCTTTTTACAAACCATAACAATCATCTTAATTATAATTTTCTATATGGACTAAAATGTTATTTCGTGAAACCACAAGTACCAATTTTGTAGTTTACTGAAGTGTTTGCTTGGTCCAAGTCTAAAAGTCTTGGGATGAAATATAAAGTCAAGTATCCCTGAAATTGTTGGGGAGTTTTGTATATACATTATTTGATTTCCAAATTCTTCAAGTGTGCTTAAATTGAATTCATTATTGGATGTTTACGTAGGCATGGAATTATCATATCCAAAAGTCAAATCTTCTTTCTATATTGGAAGAAGAATTCTTATTTTTCGGTATATATAATTTTATTATTACCGGTTATCACTTATATTATATATATATATATATATATATATATAAAGATAGAGACTTAGGATCGTTTACCAAACGCTTATTCGGGTAAGCGCTTAGCAAGTCACATTACTTTACCAGATGAATATGATAAGGACCAATAATCTTACCCAGTAAGACGAGACACGGACCAAGAGTCTTACCCGGTAAGTGAGGACGACGACTCTTACCACTGTAATCGCTTATCAGGTAAATTGTTGCGTACAATGTCATTTTGGTGAATTAAAATCTTATCCGGTAAAGAAATGATAGTGTAAAATACACTTACCGGGTAAGTTTTTAGTAAACGACCCCTTAATTGAGAACATCTTTATTTTATAAGAACGTAAGAGTATTCTTAATTCAAAAAAGGTGTAACATATTATAAAACTGTTCCACGGACTTTTGGCAAGTTTTTTCCGTCGGAAAATACAAATCCGTTAGAAATTCCATCAGAAATTGCATTTAGCGGCGGAGTTTTTCCGACGGATTTACAAGGGATATTGCCGTTGGAAAAACCCCATTTTTTAGTAGTGGTGAGAAGACCTGGTAGTATGTGCGTGACTTAGCCTACGACTTAGGTCACGCTAAAAGTTGATCACGTCTCTGATTTAGTATCACACAAGAGTATTTTTCATAAAATAAATGTACATGTTCTGTTTAAACCTTTTCATATGGACAAATATTGTATTTCCAATATTTTAGTCGGTATAAATTAAATAATCATTAATCAAGACTCAAACATTACAGATTAAACAAAAGACCCCATTTGGACAATTTGCTCGAAAAGGTAATTAATGTAGTTTAATTGTTAAAAAGTGGACTTTTAGTTATGTTGTCCAAAAAATCTAGAGACACAAACACTTAAATTCGACCTATAAATAAGAAGTAAATACATACTAGTTTTTTTTTTTTACCACAAATCTGTATTCTTTCTTTCGGAACCAGGTTATATCTTCTTTACATGATGTTTGTTTTCTCGTTGCAATCAAATGAAAATACCAAAGTCTCTTTCTTAGTTTAATTTCACAACTTGAAACAGATTTCATCGTTAATGAAAACCATTATGAATCGGAAAAAAATTCTGACTCTTGACAGGTAGTGGAAATGACGATAACATGGTGTCTACTCCGGAACTGTTGGTAGATTTAATTCAAGTTCTGGAAGCGACATGGTCATCTCCTTAAAAAATTAACTGACTCATAAAAATATAACGTTTTACTAAATATTGTAAATTAGAATGGTGACTACATTGATAACAAGTTGTTATAAGGTTGTATTTGGCATGAAACAAGACAAAAACCGGAATGGACAAAATTGTTTTATCCCAATTTTGACACGACATGAGCAGATGAAAAAGTGCGACAAATTGACGATTTTTTTGTTTCGTCCAATAAAATGATACTATTTTACCAAAGGTCCATTTTTTTCTTCATCAAAATTACTTTTAAACTTATACATTTATCATATTATTCAATGAATGAAAATATAATAATAAATATTTACATACATATAGAGAGACGGGGAATGAGCGATCAAATGCAAACCACTCATATTTGTACAAACTGTGCAAACCTTTCATCCGTCGATTTCATTGTTTAATCTTATGAAATTGTTTTATATAATAAATTTTTTTGTTGAAGTTGTTTCATATATGGTTATAAAATTGTTTTATATAATACTTATGAAATTTTAATGAAACTGTTTCATGTATTTATCTAAAATTAATATAATGAAGATAATTTTTTTTGAAAGGCAATATAATGAAGATAATAATATCTATGATTAACACCATTCACAATAAAAATAATTAATTAACCTCTCATAATTACAAAAAAATGAACAAAATGAAAAATTATATATATATATATATACACACACACCCACACACACATATATATGGGTTCATTCAAGTGAGAGTTGATTAGTTTGTGATAATTGTGAGATACAATCTCAACCACAACTCAACGGATAAATTAGAAAACTAATATTTTTGGTAATTTGACTTAAAATTATAATTAAAGGGTATTTTAGGTATTTTAAATTTTTTTATCTCTTCTCTCTCTCCTACCTTTGGTCTGACATCATTGATACCAAAAATACACCAAGATACACAATATGATACCTAAAACACAAATCAAGTAATTACTTTGAGAACTCTGTGATACCAATTGTGGTACCACTATGAGGGGATGGGAGAAGGGAGATAGGTAGTGAGGGGGTCACAGGGACAAAGATGGGGCTAGCTGTCGGGAATGCTCACATGTGGGTGTTTAGTGGTCGATCATCGAAGATGACGTCTTGGTCAGGCAAGATTACTGGAGGAGGTCATCGAAGTAGTGGTGGGTGCCGAAGAAGACCACCGGATTTGATCCATGTGTGTCCTTGTGTGTGTATATGTATATACATATACTAAAATAATTAAACTAATTAAAGTAAATTGGAATAATCAAATAAATGATAAAAATCTCATTTTAAATATAAAGAATATAAAATATAATTAGGATAATCATTGGTTTCTAACAGAACACTTAATTATTATCTTTATAAAAAATA